AGGGCATCTGCGGTGCGCCGAGCCTCGGACAAGCCAGTTTTGGAGCTGTCTGCTAAGAATCTTCTCGCTTCTTTCCCCGAGTTTACAAAGCTTTTTTCCGTCCATCCTTGAGGAAGCTGTCCGGAGAGTTTATCGACCCCGAGAGCGACGAGAACCTCTTCAAGACACCTCAGGAGCCGGAGCTGTGGAAGGACCTCTGCCAGTTCTGCTCAGAGGAAGGCGGCCCTATGCCCTCCCTTTCCCCTCTTTTCATCTGAGAGAGGAGAGCCTTTTAGAACGCCAGGTGAGGCAATCACTCCACCTGGCTGCCCGGCGCCTCCAAATGGCGAACTGCCTGGAGAACCGGGATGCGAGTTTCTGAGGCAATGCTTGCTGAACTCGCATGAGGGCATGTCAGAGGGCTGTTTAGGAAGCTTTCTTGAGCAGAAATTCTCAAATGCGAGCGCAGGCCTTTCGGAAGCCTGCGAGACAAGGAGTGCGTGCCGCAGCCTAATCCCGGCAACGACCCGGAGATCGAAGAAAACAACAATCGCATCAAGGAGCTACAGGGCGATGGTGAGAATTGTGCGCCTTGGAACGAATGGTTGCCAATTAGCTGTGGCTACTTCTGTTTTGTTGCCTGTTTGCGATTTCTGCCAGGTGGCTTTCGTGCTTCTGAACAATGGCCCCAAGTTCCCTGGCAGAAGCTGCAGAGACTGGTGCCAGGCAGGGAGCTATCGCTTCTCCTTTAAGACTGCACGATTTTGCCACAATGCCACCTTTTGGAGAAGTAACATTAAGGCTAGGAGGAAAGTGAATCACGATATCCATTTGGCACACTGGGGCTTCTCGCTCCTCTTGCCTGATATAACGAAAGGCAGGGTCTAGGAGGCATAAAGTGGACACAGCGACCAGCATACCCCGATTTGGGCAGGACCGGGGCGCCGAGTGCGTGGACGTACGCGATGATCTTGGCACTGGGAGGTTCCCGGACGAGAAGAACACTTGCGGGCTCAGCGCAGCTGATGATCCAAAGAATTTCAACAGCGACGGTACCCCGAAGACTTGCGACAGCATTGGCAGGGACACCCACTGCGTCTGCAAGAAGCCGGACAACACTGCGCGCCTTGGGCTTTCACCTTGTAGTCTAGCTGTAGCTGTGTAATTAATTGCCCTTCTGCTTGCATGTTGCAGTGTGCATTGGGCGATGAATTTCTTGCGTGATTCTTCAGGCCGGGCGAGCCTGTGGAGAGGACCTGCGCGGATGCCCGGGACGACGCTGGCTTCAACTTCTCGTACCTGGACGCCGCGGACACCTGCCGAGAGGAAGCCATGTGGTTCAATCGTGTGACCTACCCGCAGAACGGCGAGCAGCCCACCCTCGAGCAGCGACTGCTTGTCTACTGCGTCCAGGATGTATGCGCCTCAGACCCCGAGGACCGGCCGGAGGTTGCCCGCAGCTACGGTGACCGGGACCCGGACCTCGACAACAAGCCGAGCCAGTGCAACGGCCCCCTGCTCTGCAATGTGATTTGCTCCGGGCACCTCATCCAAGACTGGGGCGAATGCGTGAACCGCTGTGAGGAACACCGATCCAAGCTGCTCCACGCAGTGACACATTACTGCAGGGCAGGCATTTGCCCCTCGCTCCTGGAGGAGACGGAAACCATTGGTTTGCTCCAATATCGTGGCAACCGCTCTTTGGACACAGACTCCCGCAGGTCCTGGTCCAGCAGATCTCGCAGGTCCTGGTCCAGCAGATCGCGGAGATCCACTATCATGTCCAGCCGATCGCGAAGGTCCAGTTTCCCGGTTTCCAGCAGATCACGCAGGTCGACCATCTGGTGGAGTAGATCACGCAGATCCGGCTTCCACTTCTCCA